GCCTATGGTTGACATACAGGTGTTGAACCAAATCTCGTCTGAGAAACCCTGGGGAGACGGACCACAACTTAATGGTGTGTATTGTAATGTCTTCTTTGTGATCTCTTCTAAAACCGTCAAATTCTGAGGCAAATAGTAATTAAAATAATTTATATTTAGTATATATTGGTATATATTTAGCAATAGTTATATATTGCTGCCATCAATCAAGTATTCTTTCATCAAATTTACCGGATATTAGCCATATTTACATTAAATAGTCTGATAGAGTATATGAAATAATTAACAAATAGACGATTCAAGGAAAGGAAAGTGGATTTGTTCATCAGATTAGACCACAATGTGATGGCCATAGTTCTGGAGTAACCACAACTCATACATTCTACCATTCTATCGAAGAATACCATTTTTAAACACTTAACAGTATTTTTCTTTCTGGAATCATATTTGTCTTTTGGTGAAATATTTAAAAATATTCTTAAATATATTCTTTAGAATACTAATTATGTTCCCTGGTCCATATTAGTATTACAATATTTGATTCGATTTAGTTCAATAAATAGCTAACCAAAGGAGTGTCTGTAGAGCATACTGTTCCCAAATTGGCCAGTTGGCTCATAAACTTTGCACATTAGAAAGTGAGTGAAAGTTTTACAGTTCACATTATTTTAATTTCAAATCACAAGTTACTGTATTTCAATACTGAGTTAATATATATAAAAACCTTATAACTACACGAATGAAATACATTGAGTCAATAGGTTTTGCTTTTTTATTAGAAACTTAAAAATTCATATTTGTTTTTCACTTAAGTTTTAATATTAAATTAACAGGTGATCATAAAAGCATGAAAAATTGTAATGATATTTGTGACTATAAAATACTTTATCTACTAATAATCAATGGTAAAATTATCAATTATATCTGTATAAATTCAAATTATTTAAGGGGCCAGCATTCACTCTGTTAATACTGTATAAAAACTTATCTCTAAAACTTTTTGCTTAAGTAAAGATAGCTACAAGATTTAGTTGAAAGTAACCAAATCAACAACACAGTACTGTACTGTACTGTACTGTACATGTATTTATCATATTTAATAAATAAGATGATGTAATGGTTTGTTGGCCTAAAGCGACTAAATTGGAGTAACAATTGAAATGAGAAAAAGGGCTAACCTTTGGGACAATATGTGGCAGATCTGCTCGAAATTGGTTCGAATAAGTCTTATTTGGAAATAATTTATGAAATGATTGACAAAAGTATGGTTTGATAAACGAATCTTTAATATATGTATATATTATATAATAATCAAGTTCTAATATATTATAAGTTTTATAAACAATTTTCAGAAACAATA